AAAAAAAAAAAAGAATGAGGTTGTCTTGAGTCAGAGCCAACTAAATAGCACCTAACAGCAAGAAGAGAGGTTGGCTGATGACATGCCTAACACACACAGCTAGTAGATAGCAGAGCAACAACTTTGACCTGCCTCTTTGGATTCCAATTTTGCAGTATCTCCTTTAATTTTAATGCCTTGACATGTCTCTTAATTTTTTTTTAGAAATTAATTGGACAAGACCTTTTCCTGTGAAATAATACATCTCACTGCTACATGAGAATGACATTCTCAAAGACTTGGGAAAGCACAATACCTTGAGGATGTATCTGTCAGTAAAACAAATTGCTTGGTGATACCAGGTCAGCATCCAAAAGCCATTTACCAGAAGAATAACAGTTGTCTAGAGTTTAAGTGCAATTCCTTTCTGAATCATCTCTAGAGACTTCCTTGAAAGAAAAGGAACTGCAGGGGAGTCCCCACAGAAGGGCTGCACACAGCAGACAGCAGCAGATTATACACATCGCTGGCCCCCTACCGATGTTGCAACTCAGGAGCGGACACACTGATTCTCTTATATAATCTTTTCAGAAATTCTGAAATGTGGATAATACTTTACAGTTGCAGACATAAGTTCTGAACGGTTAACTTGCCAAAAGTCACAGAGTTAGTAAATGGTAGTCAAGTCATGTCTGTCGGACCCCAAAAGGAGTCCATTTTCCGTGCAGCACGTGCTTCCCTGAATTGAGCTGAACTAAGAAAGTTTAACGCCACCAACAGGCAAGACCCTGCGTTTGTACAGTGGGACTCTTCATGGGGCGTGTCTTCCCAGTCCTGGAGGTTCCCACAGAGGAGGAGGTGCTTTCTAACCGGGCAACTCGCCTAGTGTCCTGGCAGTGAGAGAGAACTTAAGTTTGAGGAAGGGAGCGCAGGTGGTGGGGCGGAATGGAGACCGAGGCTAGCAGTCTGCGGTCCCCGAGACCCAACCCCAGCCCAGTGTTGACTCTGGAGGCTCGACTGGGCGTGGACACGCGCCTCTGGGTCAAGGTACTCTGCACTGTGCTCTACGCCTTCATCTTTGCTCTTGGCTTGGCGGGCAATGCGCTGTCCGTTCACGTGGTGCTGAAGGCGCGGTCCGGGCCGCCGGGTCGCCTGCGCTACCATGTGCTCAGCCTGGCACTCTCCGCCCTGCTCCTGCTGATGGTCAGCGTGCCCATGGAGCTCTACAACTTCGTGTGGTTCCACTACCCATGGGTTTTCGGCGACCTGGGCTGCCGCGGCTACTACTTTGTGCGCGAGCTTTGCTCCTACGCCACTGTCTTCAGCGTGGCCAGTCTGAGTGCTGAGCGCTGTCTCGCTGTGTGCCAGCCTCTGCGCGCCCGTCGCCTATTGACGCCGCGCAGGACCCGAAACTTGCTCTTGCTAGCTTGGGCCTCCTCTCTTGTCCTCTCCCTACCCATGGCTGTCATCATGGGGCAGAAACACGAGCTGGAGACAGAGAGCGGGGAGCCAGAACCTGCCTCGCGCGTGTGCACAGTGCTGGTGAGCCGCACCATTATCCAAGTGTTTATCCAGGTAATGGCAACGTGGAGTGGGACGGCTCCCTCCGGAGGAGCAGACACTGGGAGGAAGGCGGGATGTCTTGGCCTGTGTGTTCACCGCTAATGCTTCAAGTATCTAGAAAGTTGAGTGTCATTGCCCTCATTTTACAGACGATTTGGGCATTGTTGTTGTTAAGTGCCATGGAGTCGGTCCTGATTCATGACGACCCTGTGTAAGGTTTCCGAAGAGCGGCTGGTAAATTTGAGCAGCCGACCTTGCTGTTCAAACGGACCTTGTGGTCCAATGCTTATCCTACAATGCCACAAACTTGGTCAAAGTGAAGTACAGATTTGAATTCAAGACTGACTCGGAAAGTCTGTGCTCCTACCGTTCATACATGAGTGGTGCTAAGACTTTACAGGGTATAAAAATTACATGGGGAGCTTGTTGAAAATACAGATTCCATGATTCATACTGGGTTCTGATTCAGTGGGCCCTGAAGAGCATTCAAACGAGATCCTAGGTGGATAGGGAGCTGGATTTATGTTGTTGTTGATGAGTGTCATCGAGTCAGTACCATAGAGACCCTGTATAGGCTTTCCGAGGAGCGGCTGGTGAGCTTGAACTGCCAGTCTTGCGATTCAAAGCAAACTTGCAGTCCAGCACATTAACCTACAGTGCCACACCAGGACTCCATTGGATATCTGTAGCCCTCTCCTTAAGCAGGATGGGGAAAGAGAATGTGTTCTGGATCTCTTTGAGGAATTGTGCTCAAGCTCCTAGTCGCGTTTTCTTATTAGCCTCCCAGTTTCTCCTTAGTCTTGTCTCCATCAGAGCTCTTAACTCCAGTGCCTACACCTACCTAACCTAGTATTTTCTGACATTTATGTTGAAAGGCCTTTCTCTGTTCTAGCCTTCTCCAACCCTGTATTATTGGAAGTGAAACTGTAGCCTAAGAGCCTTCGCCCAACACTCTAACATTCAAAGCTCTCTCCTTCTGTCTCTCTGAATTCTCTCAGCAGCTGATGCACGTATGGCCTTCTGAATACCTTTTCTGAAAGTGATTGTCACTTTCCTCTCAGGTTACATTTGAGATGGTAGAAATAGTGGGAAGGGGAGCAGATAGACCTGCCTTTCATGCTGCTCAGACCTAATTATGTGCTGAAACAGAATGTAATTTCTTCTTCATAACTTCTTTGATACTTAGTGTTCACATCTGTAAGGTACGGATTATAATAATGCCTTGCTTTGATTTTTTAAGGGAAAACTTTTATTTCTCCAGTAAAAAAATTTAAAAACATTGAAGTAACAAAGAATATACTGAACAAAATAACAACAACAACAAAAAAGATAAAACAAGGAATAAAAGGCTGCAAAATGTCAACTCTCTCTAAATTAATATACAAATTTAGGCTAAGTTAATACAAATATTATAATATTTAGCTGGAGGTGTCACTATTGATTTGGTTTGGGGTTGGGGTTATGTGTTATATTAAAAGCCAAGAGAAATAGCCCATAGCATATAGAAAAGGATATTATAGTTTTACATCTTCACCTGTGCATGTTAGTGTTCAATTATGGTTTAAGTAATAGTGGATCTTTTATTACAACCAAAATATGATACTTAGGATCCAATTAAATGTAAATTGTATATTCTTACTAATTACATGAAAATAATATCTATATATCTATATGTATATTTTTAAAAATAAAAAATTGCATTTACTTAGAAGCAATCAGAACGTCAACAAAACAGCTGCAACTTTTTTTTTTTGTTTTTGAAATTACAGAGTGGTATTCAGTTAGCAGAAAATTATTTTGTATAAGATGCATCAGACAACTGAAGATGAAAAACAAAAAATACCATTCCCATATATAACTAATTTGTGCCGTGCACCAACAAGAACCTGCTTTTTTAAATTTCCACGCCAATTTACAACCCCATACTGTTGTAAATTGTTGGTGGCTATTGAAAACACCTCCAAGACAGGGTTAACTAAAGACACATTTGGTAGTGTGTTAACTATACAATAAAAAGACACTGTACAATTTAAAAACAAAGCTTACACAGCCTTACATTTCAATTTCTTATTTATTTAAAAGAAGTGAGTTGTGTACATGGGGGTTAAATGCCTTATAGACCAAAAAAAAAATTTTTGTGCTAAAGTCAATATATTAATCATTATCATCTTCTTCTTAACCTTCCTCCTCTTCCTTCTTTTTCTTGCTTTTCTCAGCCTTGATGACTCCCTTTTTGACTGCATCTGGCTTTTCTTTAGCCCGGTAGGCAGCTATAACCTTTTCATACTTCTCCTTCAGCTTAGTGGCCTTCTTCTCATAGGTTGCTTGTCATAGGCAGTGGTATTATTCCACATCTCTCTCAGTTTCTTTGCAACATCACCAGTGGATAGTCCGGGATGCTCACCTTTGATTTGGGAGCGATACTTTGAACAAAACAAGAAGGCTAAAGGAGGCCTCTTGGGTACACTGGGATCCTTGAACTTCTTTTTTGTCTCCATTATAGGCAAGATATAGGTTTTGATTTCTCTTTCAAATTTTCCTCTTCCACCTCTCTGAGAACTTCTTGGAAAGTTCTGAGAAGTTGACTGAAGCATCTGGGTGCATTTGTGCTCCTCCCAGCAGGTTTGCACAAAAAATGCATAGGATGACATTTTGCCTCTCGGTCTCTTAGGACCTCCTTTGCCCATGTTTAATTATTGCTATTTTTTTCCATCCATGAGGCACAGAATCCACTCAATGCCATCCAGCTCTGCCTGGCTTGGCACTGTCTCTATGCAGTTCAAGGTACTGCAATGGCTGTCTCTCTATATGTTTTAAGTTTTTATTGTGAATTGAGTAATAGTTTACATAGGAGAACATTGGTTTTACACTCTTGGTTTCATTGCAATGATTACAATCCCCTCCTTATATCATCATTCAATAGTGTTTGTTTCTATGCCCTCTGGGGTTTTTTGTTTTGTTTTTGGGAGGACAGGATGTACACAAAAACACTCAGGAATATATAATCATTTAAACTACCAAAGGGCACATTCCGTAAGCCTGCCTCCTGGCCGTGAGTCTTTCCATGAGTCTAGAGACCTCTGCTGCTTTATCTCTGAATGTCCTCATCTCTGCCTCCATCTCCAGTGTCACCGCTTCTCTGGGTAGGGTAACATAATCTATATTTTAATCCCAGTATTTTAAGAAATATAATTTTATCAATTTTAACAAGAATGAATGTGGAATCAATTAAATAACAACAGTTAAACTCAAAAAAAGATCAACCAAAATCACTTTGAAAGAGAGAAAACACAAGTGAATGCCTGCTATTATGGATGATGCTATGAAGACTGAACTATCCCTGCCTGTGGCCCTAAACCCTCAAAGCCTAATCTTGCTCTTCCTCTGAGGACCCTGCATATATTACTGTCCTAAAGCAGCAGAGTCATCTACTCTCAGCATCCTCCACTCCAATTCTAAACTGCAGCAGAACAGAAAGTAAACTGCTACTGCTCACAATTCAGGCTGACTGCAGTTCTCTGCTGGGATCTAGTGTGGACTGTGGAAATGAACACTAAAATCACATGTTCAAAATGTCTGTAATCCATATCCCACCACTTCTCACAGACTGGGGTAGGAGCTTTCAGGTTGTACCTATTTTGGAGTTAGACTTGGGAGAAAAGTGCTAAACAAGGTTTGTGTTATAGATAAACTACTTGCATAGTTTACTTGACATGATTCCAACTGACTCATGAATTTTTTCAGTAACAATCTCTAGTGTTGATGCTGGGAAGTGTGCTACGTGCAGGCATATGGCCTATTTGTAGTGAATTATTTCAGTGCAACAGCATGATTTGACAAATGACACATTAAAATGTTTAACCTGAAACATGCAATCTATGTTAAAACAATAACCAGATTCCGATTAGGATTACTTAGGCAAATCTTTCTTTTTAGTATCTTAAGAGAGTTAGGAGTTCTGGTAATGTAGTGGTTATGAGTCGAGCTGCTAACCTCAAGGTCAGCAGTTAGAAACTACCAGCTGTTCAACAGGAAAAGGTGAGACTTACTGCTTCAGTAAAGCTTTACAGCCTCAGAAACCTGCAGGGTCACTATGAGTCAGAACCAACTGTATAGCACACCACCACCACCCTGATTAAGACGGTTGATTCACTTTCCATATTAATCAGTGTTTTAGATCAAGAAAAGTGTTTACAGTTTTTGAAAGTGCAAAACACTCAGTTTTTACAGAAAGAGTTCAATACTCAAAGATTAATCATCAATTTATGACTACATTTTTACTTTCAGTCTCTGTTTGGTATTTAAGCTACAATTTGGTAGTAATTAACTATGTTGTCATTGATAAACATTTTGTTGGTTCAGCAACAAACTAAAGGCTTAACAAGAAGCATATTTTCCCTGGGCAAATTTTCATTCCACTTTTTAGCAAATCCAATCAGTTATAGGCTGAAGATGGGCTTACAAACTGTCACCATAATTTCCAATATTCATTTCAATCACACATGTCTATTTTACAATAGTAGGCAGGGGAAACCAATAGCCATAAAACAGTGAAACACATAAACCTTTTTCTTTCCCCTCCTTTACCCATTCAGCCGTATGTCTCAATCCATGTATCTATTCACAGAACACTGTAGTTACAAGGTTGGGTATAAATCATTATTTACCTCTATCCCATTTAGCACATGCATAGCTTCCTGTCTTCCCCTATCCTCATTGTTCATCTGCAATCCTACCTCTTTTTATGTATTGCCCTCCCCCTCCTTGTATATTGCCCTCCCTGTCACCAGAACTAGCATGTGTCTACCCTCTAGCCAATGAATTACTCTCCCCTCCCTCCCACACATTGTAACCATCAAAGAATGTTTCTTTTAGTATGGAAAGCTTTCTTAAGTTTTTATAATGATCTCATACAATATTTCCCCTTTTGTGACTAATTTCATTTAGCATAATGTCCTCCAGGTACATCCATGTTATGAGATGTTTTGCAGATTCACCATTATCCATTATAAATAAACTTTGGTACATTGTGTGTATTACCAAAGTTTATTTAGCCTTTCTTCCACTGATGGTCACTTAGGCTGTTTCCATCTTTTTAATATTGTGAATAGTGCTGCGATGAACATCGGTATCCATATATCTACTCCTGTCCTGATTCATATTTCTTGTGAGTATACACCCAGTAGAGGGATTGCTGGGTCATAAGGTGTTTATTTTTTTCCAGCTTCCAGATCAGTTATTTTAGTCCTGATTTTAAAGTTGATTGGTATCAACACCTACCCACCCACCACCACCAAGCTGATTCTGACTTATAGCAAACCTATAAGGACAGAGTAGAACTGCTATGTAGGGTTTCCAAGACTTTAAATCTTTGTTGGAGCAGACAGTCTCATCTTCTTCCCTCAGAGTGGTTTGAACCACAGACCTACTGATTAGTAGGCAAATGCTTAACCCTCTGTTCCACCAGAACTCCTTTGACTGATATGTTGTTACTATTAAGTGTTGTTGAGTTGATTTTGACCCATAACAACCCTCTGCAAGGTTTTTGAGGAGCAGCTGGTGGGTTTGAACCACCAACCTTGTAGTTCACAGTCTAGTACTTAAAATATTAGTTGGTTGTTTTCATTTTGTTTTTAAATGTTTGTAAAGGGAAAGAAGCAGTAGAGTTTTAGACCTAATGAGGAAAATTGCTGTAAGACATACATTCTGAAACTTTTTAAGTGCACATCTAAAACAGACAAGGTATTATATAACAAACTTGTTTTTCATAGTTAAGTCATAATACAAAACTTGTAATGTAAAATAGCATCCCCTTTCCTCCACACCTTGATTCATATTTCTGAGTCTAAAGGCAGCTACCACCCACTCTTAACTATTGCAGCTCTTTGTTAACCTATTTCTAATGAACATGTTTATTATTTCCAAACTAAATTTTATCTAATGTCTTCTGACCATAGAAGAGGAGCATTTGACCAACTTACTTTACCATCTCCAACCGCCACACACCACATTCACACATACACTTCCCTAGCCATTCTTCCAGTGTCATTATATTATGGTATTTGGAAAGGTTTACATGCAGTATTTATATTATCACGTTTATTATGTAAACATTCTTCCTAAATGGCCAGTGCCATATTTTTGTTATATCTTGTTTCCAATATAACTTTTGCTTTCATTGTTTATGATCAACTTTTTCACTTGTTTTGTTGTCTATGTATCTATGTCTAATTCATTTTCAACTTCTCCTTTATAAGTGTAAATACCAACAAATGATCTATCCGTTTCATACTTTGTTTTTCAATCATCCTCCACAGTCCTCTTTCCCCTTGATGCATTCTGAATGCTTGCTCGCCCGGCTGGCTGCTCAGCTGTCATCTTGAGAAGTTCCCTCCCATCACTCTGCTAAACTTCCTTTTAGTCTTGTGTTGGCTACCCTATATTTGAATCCCGGGTATCTCTAGTAATTGGTTTATACATATGCTCTTGTAATCTCCCAAGACCAGAAGAAAAGTCTGTGTGTCAAAGGTAAAAAGAAAAAAAAAAAAAGTTTATCTTCTTATGTGTCATAATATGGGTATAAAATTTTAATATGAAAACTATTTTTCCTCAAAGATTTAAAAATATTACTCCATTATTTTCTTTCACTATTGTTTTTAAGAAGTCTGATATCATTCTCATTCCCCATCCTTGTATACAACTTATTTCTTGGGAAGCTTTTAAGATTGTTTCTTGATCCCCAGGTGGTAATGTCACACATACATCTCTATTTCCATCTATTGTTCGGGCCCTTGGATGCTTTCTTTCCAGAAGCTCATATCGCTCAATTCTGGAGAAGTTTTCTTGAGTGTTTTGCTTGTTTGTTTGAAAAATAATTTCTTCCCCTCTGTTTCCTCTGTTTTCGTTCTGCAATAACTATTATTTAGATGACAAAAATTCTAGTCTAATCCCACATTTTCCTATCTTTTCCTGTATTTTCATTGTGTTCTCCTTATTTACTGAGAATTTTTTCAACTTTATCTTCTAACTCTTCTGTGATCCTCTCTTGCTGCTGCAGATTCCTGGGCCGTTGAACACAGCCTCATGGTCAGAGAGTCACAAACACTTGATGCTGCTTTGTAGACCTCCATAACCCTTGGAATTGCCTTTACAGGTGAATGTACTGCTGTCCTTTGTGCTTCCCTTGGCTCTAACTGCTTTCCTGAACGGTGTAACCGTGAACCACCTGGTGTCCCTCTGCTCCCAGATGCCATCTACTTCTGCCCCAGACAATTCTGCCCCCAGCCACCTGGAGCTGTTGAGCGAGGAGGGTCTCTCTGGCTTCCGCACCTGGAGGAAGATTCTCTCCCTGACAGGCCAGGCCAATCCAGTGAGATGCACAGAATCCAGCCGGATCCATGCCCTCCAGCACAGCGTCCAGGTTCTCAGTTAAGTCCTCTGCAACACACTTGAAAGAAAGGGCCCCAGGGGCTGACACCCAGCTCCACCAATTCCTGTTGACCTGGAGCAAGTTATTACCTCTCTCTGGGCCTAATTTCTCCCATGCCTCCAGGACAATAAAGGGATTTTATAATTACCAACAAGCTTCCTACAAGGTTCAGTGTATTTAAGGAAGGAATAAAAATTCTATACATGAAACCTCTTATCTTCTTCAGGGTGTAGTACACAAAGGCAAGAAGGTATTTACCTACTTTTCAGGAAGGTTGACTACATAGAGGAATAAGAAAAGCAGTTATATAAGGAGACTTTACAAAGTTCATGGAAAGATGGGATTAAAAAACAATATAATTTTTCCACAAACTTTTGAAGCTCCCTCATACATGAAGACTTTCAGATCTGGAATTATGGACTCCCATACTGTCTGAGTCCCTAAATACATTTCCCACTCATTCTCCATTTTCCCTGCTGCAACACTGGCTTGTTTGTGTCAGTTGTTGCCACCTTCTGGCATCTTCCTGTCCAGAGATGACATAACTGAGGACATGCTTGCTCTCTGTCTGTTGCTTTATCTCTTTCTCTCCAATTTTTCTGCAGGAGCCATCGTAGTTGTGTATGTCATCTGCTGGCTGCCATACCATGCCCGCAGGCTCATGTTTTGCTTCATCACTGATGACGGATGGACTGAGTAAGTGTGGTGGACGAGGCCTATACACTATGAGAGGGTCTATTGGACTGGCTCCCACTACTGGCCCCTCTGCAGCACTGGCCTGTTTCAACTGGTCCTATCCAGTCTGTGCCTTTATAGTCTTTCAGCTGGGGCATAGAAAACAGGACATTAGCTACAAACCTCTCTGAACTCTTAAGGACTTGCGAATGAGAGGCCTTGTTTGTGGTAGTCAGGAGTATGGACATCCTGAGGGGATAGGGCAGCCACAGGGAGGAGAGGGAGGGGTCATGCTGTACGAAAGGAGGAAAACTCAGATCTGTGATTCCTTGGGCTAACAGAAGTTCTTTAGACAGATCTGGACTAGCACACCTTTTATGATATGGTTGAAGAATAGTAAAGCATTTATTATCCTGTATTTGAAAATCAATGGGGTTCTGGTATGGCGCTATGGGATAAAGCACCAAACCATAAGTCAGTTTGAACCATGAGGCTGGCAGTTCAAACTCACCAACCACTCCTTGAATATCCTATACAGCATCACTATGAGTTGGAACTGATTCGATGTTACATAACAACAACAAATGTGAAAAAGGAGCCGTGGTAGAATAGTGGATTGTGAGTTGGGCTGCTTACCAGCTTGTCCACAGGAAAAAAAAAAAAAATGAGGCCTTCTGCTCCTGTAAAGATTTACAACCTCAGAAACTCTATTCAGGGTCTCTGAGTCAGAGGGAGCAGTCGAAGCAGAAGGCTATCATGTTTGGTAAGGTGGAGGGTCAGAGAAAAAGAGGAAGACCCCCAACAAGATGGATTGGCAAAGTGGCAGCATCGATGGACTCAAGCGTGGCAATAGTAGTGAGGTTGGCCCAAGATCGGGTAGTGTTTCATTCTGCTGTACTTAAGGTCGCTATGGGTTGGTACCAACTCAATGGCACCTAACAACAATGAGTCAGAACCAACTCAATGGCACACCACCACCACAACCATTTGAAATCACTGTTTCTATAATCACAAGTGGAAGTCAAACATCCAAGAGAGTAGAGATCCCATATAGCCTCCCAGGAAATAGCTGTGTTGATAGATGCCACATTCTCTGGAGTTACCAACACCCCTCACACACACATGCAAAGGCCTCCCCATCCCCAGAGAGCTTCTGCAATAACAGACATAGCTTCTCAAAAACTTTCACATTTTGATATTTCACTTGTCCTTGGCCATACCCAGCAGCATAAGTCTTCCTGTCAACTAGCGGATGTTACATTTACTGTGGTATCCTGGTGTGGCGCTGCAGGATAATTAACACATTGGATAGCAAGGTCAGTTTGAACCGCAAGATCGGTGGTTCAAACTCACCAGCCACTCCTCCGAAACCCTATACAGTGTTGTTATGAGTCAGAACTGACTTGATGCCATGTCATAACAACTTCTACTGTGAAGACGACTGGGAACTATAGCTGATGGCTTGGGATTATAGAGGCTGAGTGAAACGGATTAACCAAGGGTAGCTGTTGTCAATAGAACATTTCCTGAATTCACATTGTGTTTCCTGATAGTAGACAACAGTCCTTTGATTGAAAGACAAATACGTTCTTCACTAAAGAAAGGGGTAGCTAACTGGAAAACAATATGCAAAAGACTGA